ATTAAGGCTGGTAAGTTACTGTAGTAACTGGAGCACCTAGGTTAAAAATGAAATGTAATTTATTTTGAATTTGGAACAAATAAAGAGTTAAAAAAAAAAAAAAAAAAAAAAAAAAAAAAATTAAAAGGAAGATCTAGGGGAAATGTCTCTAATGTTGGCCTATGGATCTAAGATAGGGGCCCATCGATAAAAATCTGCTATTTATCAATTTTATCTAGATGAACGGCTTATTGGGACGTTACTAATGGATATTTTTGGTTGCTATTGAAAATTTATTCGATTGCTGAATTTATGTATGGGCCCAAATTAGGGACCTCCCTTAGCTCAGTCGGTAAAGGCGCGGCTACAAAGCAAGACCATGCTGGAGGTGGCTGGGTTCAATTCCCGGTCCGGTCTAGGAATTTTTCGGGTTGGAAAATTTCTCGACTTCCCTGGGCATATAGAAGTATGATTGGACTTGCCACACAATTATACCAATGCAAAAATGGTACAGGCAGCGAAAGCTCTCAATTAATAACTGTGGAAGTGCATCTAGAACACTAAGTTGAGAGCACGCAATAAGCTAATATGCGATATGCAATAAGCTTGAAATGCGAAGAAGAAGAAGAAGAAGAAATTAGGGACACTTAGGCCGACATTACCTGCATTTCCCCTATATATCTGAAGAGAGCCAAGTTTCACAAAGAGCAAATGCATCACAATCATTATTGTGAACTAAAAACTTAAAAGAGTCTAATTTAGGAATAAGACTTCGGCAATTCCACTGTAGAACAGTGATCAAATCCCTCGTTATCCCTCCCCAAATCTCGTTTGGAAAATTATCCGTCGAAGGAAATGATTGCTGCAAGGAGGGGCCACTTCAACGTCAATTGCTACAAGAGAGTCATTGCCAAAAAAATGCTTTTCAGAGGATCAGAAATATCGAGATACTTGAGGTTATCGTCTACAAGTACAAATGTGATCAAGACAATTCTTCGCCTGATATGCCTTCAAGTTACAGCACGTCTTGCATTTCCAATGTTGCTTATTTTAATCCTGAACATCACGGTCTGCAGTCCACCGATGACGGCTTCCTTTATAACACCGATTCTGAACATAGCTGCCACGTTTCTGAAACTGTCAGCCCAGAACGCATTGCCTACCGCCCCATGGAAGCCCCTAAGCCTCTCAACGCAGTTGTGTGTACTGATTCCTGCCATCGTAGTCGTTCTGGCCCTGTGGTTGAGAACGGTGAAGGGGTCTTCCAACCTTCGATTTCAGGCAAGTATGCGTTTATTGAAACCAACCGGTTAGTACTTCTCTTGAGCAGTTATGGGTGAAGATTACGACGTCATACAACATGATAAGCATCGGCGTTATGTACCTTCCTCCTGACCGTAAATCTAATTTGAGCTGCGTTGAGAACCATATCAGTTCCATTGGTGCTGTATTGTCCCGATTACATCACAACGATCTAGCTCTGCTATTTGGCGACTATAACCAGTCTGGGCTTGTTTGGAATATTTCCGCGAATGATCATCCAACCATTGACATTCCTCGGTCGTACATGCCTGCTTCCTGCTGTGCTCTTTTGGATGGTTTTAGCCTGCATGGTTTAATGCAAATTAATTCTGTACCAAACAGAAACGCTCGGCTGCTTGATCTTGTGTTGGTAAACGAAGCCGCCGCACTAGAATGCAGTGTCGCTGAGGCATCCGAGCCTCTGATACATCAAGACGCCGATCATCCAGCGTTGGAAGCATTCATCAATCGATCAGTTCCTGTTCTCTATGAAAACATCGTTGATGTATAAAGCCTGGACTTTCGTAGAACTGACTACGACGCATCACTCACTGGCCCAGGTAGATTGGCAGTCGCTTGACTTGTGTTCGTCCATTGATGAAGCCGTTAACTATTTCGACGAAGTTGTTAGCCGATTAATAAAGGATTGTGTGCCTCTGAGGAGACCTGCTCCAAAACCTGTATGGTCCAATGCTCGATTACAACACTTGAAGCGTGTGAGATCGAAGGCTCTTCGAAAATAGAGCCAGTCCCGTAATCCATTCACCAAGCGATTATTTTCGTTAGCAAGTAATTGCTACCGAATGTACAACCGTTTTCTATACAAGAAGTACTCAAGACGTATGCAGACCAATCTGTGGCGTAATCCTAAGCTATTTTGGACGTTTGTGAAGACAAAAAGGAAAGAGGATGGGCTACCGATTGAGATTCATCTAAGCGATAAAAGTGCCAACACTTCTTTAGAGAAATGTAACCTCCTGGCTGAGCATTTCAAGAGTGTTTTTAACGATTCAACGGCATCGTTAAGCCATGTTGCTGAAGGGATCAGAGATACTCCCAGTGACGCGTTCAGCTTTGATATTTTCACGGGCATATTGGACCTCGTCACCTCTGCCATCCAGAAGTTGAAATTCTCGAACGCTGTTGGGCCTGACGGCATTCCATCGTCCATACTCAAAAGATGCTCAACAGAGTTTTCCTCTCCGCTTTCAAAGCTGTTCAATATTTCGTTACAACAAGGTGTATTTCCCTCTCGTTGGAAATCTTCGTTCATGTTCCCGATTTTCAAGAAAGGAGACAAACAAAATGTGGAGAGTTACCGAGGAATTACTTCACTTTGTGCCTGCTCGAAAGTATTCGAGATAATCATCAACGACGCTTTATTTGCCAGCTGTAGAAACTACATTTCTCCTGACCAACATGGTTTCCACCCCAAACGTTCGGTCTCAACAAACCTCGCTCCTTTCATTTCCCTATGCCTACGGAATATGGAGGCAGGGGCACAGGTGGACGTCGTATACACGGATCTCAAGGCTGCTTTCGACCGGGTTGATCATGCCATTGTAATTGCCAAACTCGAGAAAATCTTGGTGTTCCTCATGGATTCACTCGTTGGTTTGAATCGTATCTTACCAATCGAGAGCTTGGTGTGAAAATCGGGTCTGATCAATCGGAATATTTTTCAAAAAACTCAGGCGTTCCTCAAGGCAGCAATTTGGGACCGCTGCTATTCTCCATATTCATTAACGAAATCGGTTTGATACTTCCAACTGGCTGCCGGTCATTCTATGCAGACGATGTCAAGATGTACGTGGTTGTGCGATGCTTCACTGACTGCCACTGACTACAGCACCTGATCTATAGTTTCGAAGAGTGGTGCTCTAGGAATTTTCTCACGTTGAGTGTTCAAAAATGCAATATCATCACTTTCCATCGCAAGCTAAAACCTATTGCATTCAATTATACGATCGATAACCAACCTCTGCAGCGTGTGGAAAACGTACGTGATCTAGGAATTACACTTGATTCTGCTTTGACATTTAAGCTACATTACACGGATATCATAGCCAAAGCTAACAGGCAACTCGGATTCATCTTTAAGATCTCTGATTAGTTTCGGGATCCTACCTGCCTGACAGCTCTATATTGTTCTCTAGTGCGATCGATCTTGGAATTTGGTGTATTAGTATGGTGTCCGTATGAAACAGTTTGGATAGAGAGGATCGAGGTCTGTTCAGAGGAAATTCGTTCGTTACGCTCTTCGCCACCTTCCTTGGTACGATCCTACGAACCTTCCACCCTACGAAGATCGTTGCCAACTACTGGGTATTGAAACTCTTGAACGTAGGCGGAAGATTAACCAGGCAGTTTTTGCAGCAAAAGTGCTGATAAGCGAAATCGGCTCTCCCGGGATTTTGGCTGAACTCGAAATCTATGCACATGATCCAATCTTCATTTAGACAACAAAAGTCCGATGAAGGGAATAATAAATAAATAAATAAATAAATACACAATGTTATCAAATGAGAACAACCAAGATGAAGAAGGGGCTTCTGTTCTTAAAAATGCACCATCAGGGGTTTCTGATGTCCCCGGGAGAGATGGAAAATTCTGGTTATACTCAGTGGAAATGGTAGTTAATCACCCATATTTCATAATATTGGATAAACTCAACAACTTTTTTCTGGAAAAGTTTGAAAAAACAGCAAAACAGGTTGTCCCATTACATAAGAAGCAATGGTGCGATGCAAACTAAAACGTGTTATTCTCGGCTTGCTGATTTGTGCTATGGGACGGATTTGCCATGAGCGGCAGTATAATCCTTCACTTTAGTATGTATAGTCAACCCCCATGTTCAGCGGAAGGGATTTCCTTCTCTGAATATTTTAATAAAAACAATAAATAATAAATGGTACTCCGGTGAATGGTTCATTCTGGAAAACGTATCATTCCGGGAAATGTGACTTACGGTAATGGCATTCCGATAACTGTAATTCTACCACTTGTCTTAATGATTAAAACAATAAAGCTATACTAATATAACTCGATCTCCACTAACTCGATATCGACTTATACAACCATAGTAAAAAATAATTTCATGGTTACTGTGATAGCGATTTTGTATGGGATTGTTATTCTATACCTCGATGGTCCTTTTAATATCGAGATATATAGAGTTCACTGTAGAGATAAAATTTACTCTTATTGTCGTGCAATACTAAAATAACTTTTTTTTTACGTCTGTATGGTGGAATACCATATCATTTCAATGCGGCTCTCTTGACGGACTCTTCGTTTGCCATTTAACTGTCGTGTCAAGAATGTGGATAAACATTGCCCAGACCAGCTTCTTCATTCCGTTATTTAACGTCGGTCTCTGTTCCGCAATCTAGTGCCAATCACCGACGGACATCGATTGCCATCCATTGACGGCAACCGAATGTGCAGGAAGGCAGCTTCCACACCTGTGTAGGATATCGCACCCATTCACAACATACATGGGCCGGGCCCAACGGCTTTACTTCCCTTCCGAAGGAAGACGTGACCAGAGATTTATGCCTCAGAAAAATCCCACCGACCTCGGCTGGGATTGAACCCAGACCCATTGGGGTGTTAGAAAGCAGTCACGCTTACCACTACACCACCGGTGCCGGCTGCCCAGACCAGCAGTGTTTAGATTTTTTGTTATTATTATCTGTATGTCCCCTGCTACTACTTACGTGGAACTGCAGATGTTTCATAGTCGGAAAGCCTTTCACGTATCCATCCAAGATCGCACCTTTCGATGGTCCGAGTACAAGCTTATTACTTGCAACGCGCAGCTACAAAATAAGAATTCTGTTCGTAAATATTAACAATATAAAGCACTCGCATCTGCCGTACCTCGTCGAGGAAAATTGCCGTCACTTTCACTGTCAATTGTTTGATCTCATCGAACCCGTAGTTGGCTGGCAAAAGTTCCATACCTTTGGAATCGTACTGTACCATCATCATCGGGCCGTGCACATTCCGTTGCTTTTCCTCATCCGTCAGGAATGCATCACACGGTTCCATAGCTTTGAGAAGCCGTTTTTCGTCGATGAATGGAATCAAAACAACCGCTTCCCACGATTGCTGCTTCCCGTTGAGATCCGTTTCGAATTTTTCCGGGTAGTAGTCCACCACGGGGCTGTCCGGATCCATCATCAGCTTGTGGTATGCACTGGGTAGATGGTTCTTGCTAGCTGTTGGTAGGACACTTAGCAGTTGCTGAAATGGCAGGAATGGTTTTCCTAGATCGAAATCAATTTTCAAGTTGCTAAAGTTGCGCAAATCGCTGATGAACGGTGCGTAGTGATGGGGATAGTACCAAGCCCATGACGGCACACCGCGGTAGTAGTAGAGAAGGGTCCACTGGAGGGCTCGGATGTAGCATTCCGTTTGTTCGGCGCGGATTTCCCTAAGATGAAAGAAAATTTGAGCTATTGCTTGCCTTTCCAATAAAGAGTGCATTCTTACTCGTTAAAATCTAGGTAGCCCATTTTGGTGATGTAATAGTTTCTTTTGAACGCTGTGAATTCTTTTTCGAAGAATCCCGAATCATTAACGATGTCACCTGGAGGTTCCAATTCTTCGTCATCCATGAACATATCTTCCGAAGCTTTGATAAGCGCCGAGAGATCACAGTCCACATCGGATGCTGCTTTAATTTCGTCTATAGTTACATCAAATGCCTCCGTCTAAAACATATGTTTAACAAGTTCAAGTGTTGGTCGAATTCAGCGCAGGTCCATTATACTTACATCATTGGGTCCTCGTCGGGACTTGTAATATATCAAGTCAGTGTAGTTTTCGAGGAACACATCCCTATCCAATCGTGCCAGCCGGTTCATAAGCGCCTCCAATCTGGGCATATTCAATATTCCTCCTTCGTTTATGTATCCATCGAGCGACGGAAGGATGTCCATGTAGGCTTGGAGTAGAGTCGGCAGTGCATTCTCGTTGATGTGCAAATGCGGAAGATGCGGAATGAAATCATTGCCCACCATGTAGCCCATCAGGACCCAATCGTCTATCAGTTTGTAGATGTTGAACTCAAATTTCAACTTTTCTCGCACCGGGGCAAATTCCAACTCCAAATATTCTCTCATCAATGTCAGGTGTAGCAAGTAGAACCGAGTCTCCTCAACGATACTCGATTTCTTATCATTTTTACCAAACTTTACCTCTTCTCTTAGCAGAGAGAAGTGCCTTTCGTGGGTACATAGACCCAGCATTATCAAATCAGCATCCAAACCGTACAAACAGTGACGCGTATTAGAATCGAAACCCGGTGAAGCTTTGGCATACCTAATGTATTCCATAATTTTATGTTCTCCCTCTCCGGGAGTCTCATGTCCACTCAGAATCACTTTACAGTGTTTCCACAAGGGATTTGTGCTAACCTTAACCTTGATGAAGTGCTCCAATGCTTTCTGGAGCCGAACCATAAAGCTTGTGCCGGGCGTAATACAATTGCTATCGAATCTAGCCTCCGTTGGCAAAACTTCTCCCTTCTTTTCGGCTTGCTCGATCTGCTCCTGGGCTTCGCGAGCCGATCGAAACCGACGACCTCGCTGTTGGTTCATCTTGGCCCGTGGGGCCACCCCATCAACAGCTATAAAAAATAGCTTCTGTGGACGGATCATCCGAAACAGAAATTCCAAATAATGGAATATGTCGCTGAAGATTTTCTCTTCCGAAATTCGAAAGAACACATCTGAGTCATTGGGATGTGAACAGTTGTGAATGATGCCGTTCATGTCCAGATAGAGATTGTCGAACTCAGGAACCTAAAATGAATCACACAAACAAGATGTGAATCACAAACGTGAATCTGTTTACATCCGCAAGATATATCGCGACATTGCACTCCATTTTTTTTTTTTTTTTTTTTGTGGCGAGTCGCGCGTCTTTACCATCAGCGAATATCGGATAAAAATAAAACATGAACAGAATTCATGCCCTTCAAAGGTTATCATTTGGCGGAATGGAAATCCTTCCTCATTTGGTGTATCGCACTTGTCGCTATCGATTAACATTGCGGACGTCGATTCGAAAGGTGGATAATTACACAACCAGCGTTTTCTCCGGATGGATTAGCCTATTTTACGAATAATACATACCTGATTTTCGCGAATCAGCTCGCTCAGACACGGATAGCGCTCGCTAATGTAGCGGAAGAATTTCGGAACTCCCATGGTGCGTGGAACCGTGTGGATCTATCGAACGGTGAATAAAACAGCACTGCAACGGTTGGAAATTGAAATATAGGTCAACTATTGAAATAAAATGCACTATTTGCTTACAATTTTCACCAACAAATGCACCAGCTTGTTGCCTCGAACAGTCGAACTGGTGATGTGACGTTGAAAGGAGATAAAACAAAACGTCAAAATTGGCGCTGACGACTGTCTCTGAACCCGGGAGACTCTCTTTACTCCAACGGTACTTCTCATTTACGTGCGTGTATGAAACAAAAGCAAAAAATCTTCCCTCCTTCACTTTCTCACGTCACCACAAACAAAATCAACACACTCGTCAACGTCCGGGAGAAAACCTCCACGCGTGGTTGCCAAACCTTTTCAGTTTACTCTCGTGTATACACTGTCACAAAACGAATCTTCAAAATAAGAGTGGTGAATATGACTCGACCACTCGACTGATTAAAAGAAACGCCCTTTTAAAAGCGAAACCTTTTTGTTTACGAAGGAAACTAAAATCAAAACCAAGATTTTTCTCTCACGCCGGTTATTTTAAAATAGAAGTTTGTTCAAATAAAGCCAGCCAAATGGCCCATATATGTTTTAAAGTATCCAGGAACGGAAACGTTACCGAACTGCAGGAAAAGGTGGAAGGAAATAGCGTCGGCGATTTGTTAAAATCACTCAAGGGCATCAAAGAATCATCCAACGATACCCTGACGAAGCTGGTGCAGGAGGAAAACGCGAAGAACGTTAGGAAAGCAGACGAAAAAAGTTTGATTTGGTCGAAATTTATATCGGGATCAGGAAATGATAGCTTTCTTCCGTTTTAGAAAACGCCGCGGATGATGCGGAAGAGGAGCCCGAGAAGGATGAACCCCGAAAAAAGACGAAAAGCTAATTTTACAAACAAATCTCGTACGGAGTTTGCACTTGTAGAGTTTATGTGTCAATAAATAGAACAAACTGTTGATTTTGTAATGCTCTTAGTACTACTTAATTAGAAAATACGACGGGACATGCGCATCCATTCTGTTGGGAGTCCTTAGAAACGAACTATTTACCATCCAAATAAAATATCTGTCACAAAATTTCATGTTAAAAAATGTCCAAGGGATTGGAAGTGGGCACCAAATCCTCCGAGTCTTCGGAAAGCGATGAAAGCAACGAATATACTATCGGTATGCACACCAGAAGCCTGTCCTGAACCTAGAAGATAAGTAACTATTAACCGCTCGGAGCATTGTTTCAGCATCTACTAATGACTCATTCAGCCTGGCGAACACCAAACCAAAATCCAAGTTCAACGAGATCGAAAGTGCCATGATAAATTCCGTTCTGGAGGAGACCATCTTCAAACTGATCATCGTCAACATGGAAGAAGACCACGGAAGCACCCCCATCGCCAAGAAGCCCCCGATGCACGTGCGGTTCGATCCGTCCTACAAGAGCAGGATGCCCAACGAAAATCAAGCGATCGACGTAGCGATGGGAATGATGATTCTGGTCAAGTTGAAAAATGACATGTGAATGCTTGCCTAGTGAAATTCCAATTCAGCGTAATTGAACAAATTTGCTGTTCGAACCTCTTTCTAGATCAAATTTAAGGAAGCTACTTTCCGATACACACGTTGAAATGGCAGAATATGGTTCCTTTGAGACGCTACATACCTTTATGGACAACGACATTCAAAGTGAGAAAGAGGAACATCAGCTCATTCGGGATAGTATTTTGAATGAGAAGAGGCTAAAGGCCCTGCAATCGCAGCTCGATGGCGAGACGAGGGAGAGGAAATCTATGCTGAAGCAACTGAACGATGAAATATTTGATTTGGAAACGAGGGCTCAGGTTAGTCGTTAGTAGAACCACATACATTGCATTGAAGACCTCCGAACATATATTTTCAATATTGCCAATTTAGATAAAACAAATAGGCTTTAACTGACTGAAATGACTTTAATAGACTGAAACGACAATATCACCAAATGAAAAGTTAAACTCGAACATAATTTGGACATTAGAGTGACTATCATGTACCTATGTTCCATATAAATTTGTCTAGTTGTAATCTTCGCCAAAACGTGTACATGCGGAAAATACTTCAAACTTAATTAGATCAATATTGTTTGAAGACATATCTCTAAATTAAAAATACATTTTCCCCGCGTTGATTTTTTCAGGACACTCAAGTGGAAAACGAAGTCAAGTCTAGACTGGTACAGAAATGGGAAAACACTCGTCACGAACAGGCTAGAATAGTCATCGAAGGAAAGGAGAACGGTTTGATCAAGACATCCAAGGATACCAGAGATAACATCGAGAGAGAACTGCGACTTAGAAGTGAAATTGATGGCTAGTATTTTTTTTTTTCTACAAACGAACGCATTGAACAGTCTCACACAACATATAAATTACAATTGCAGTCTACATCAACTATTGCATCGACCAAATAAACGATAAAATTTCCTTTTGGACGGACAAGTATCAGCGCGAAATCAAGGCGTTTGACCAGGATATCACCCGTCACAAGGAGCACATTGCCGAGCTGAAGGTCAAGTACGAGGAAATGGTTATCCTGTACAAACATCGCGAGAAGGAGATCAAGATATGCGCCGAGTCCCGCAAGGAACGGGAGAAGCAAAAGGCTTTTGCCAACAAACAGCACCGGTCGGCAATTATGATTCAGGCCTGGTGGCGTGGCACCATGGTACGCAAGGGTTTGGGCCCGTTCAAGAAAAAGAAGAAATCGAAACCTCCGAAAGCGTCGAAGAAGGGTGTAAAGAAGGGCAAATAGATTCGATATGACTGTGTGCGGTAAGGCAGGATTTCTTTTTCATTCTACGATTTAAGGGTGTGTGACAGCAGGGGAGTGTGGATTTTCTATTGTTTTATTAAAAAAGTGTGTACTCAGCGCTAACACAGTTCAATACATTTTTTTTTTTTATAGAATAAAAGTGTTCAGATCTCTACGACGACAAGCGAGACAATGCTGATTCTGCGCCGCTTGTTTGTCCGATTTCGAATGCAATACGCGCGATCAATATACAATATATAGCTTTGATTACCCTTCAAATCAATGTAAAATTCTACTCTTTCGTTTCAAATATAAATAATTTCTTTGTTCTCCGCGCGCGCGCAGTTCTCGCAATATATAGTTATAGAAAATAATTTAATAAATATCTTGTCTACCAATGTTGTGTATGATTCGCCTTTTTCATGTCTTCAAAAAAGAGAAATCGTAAACCAAACTTGCATCAATCAAGTGGAGATTTGATTTGCGTCCAATTGACTGCTAGGGTGAACCGTAAAAGCGCTTCCAGTAGTTTGGAAGTCATTTCTCAGTGTAGGTGTGCTTTTCTGATTACATTTGTTGTAATTAGGCCATGTGTTCAATCATGGTATACCAAGGAGTAACGATTTCTATCATCGATACGATTTATAACACCATAGATTGAACCAGTAGCGAGTATCCTAATTCAAAATATAATATGTTTGGGTAAACTTGGTTCACCCTAGTGATCCTAGGGGCGCATTTTATTAGTTTTGTAATTATGACAGTACCATCGAAAACAACATATCAATAAAACTGGCCACTATTACGCTTTCGTATGTAAACGCTAAAATACTGACACATTTACATTCCGCTGACTAGTGCTCAAAACTGCGATTAATTAACTGAATATTGACTAAATTGAATTGATTCACTTTAATCGGTCTGGAGAGAGCGAAAACTGGAACATGGAACACAGGTTCTATTTGTTGGTAATGATGTGTAAATTGCAGTTTTTGGCACCAGTGCACACCAGTATAAGCCCTGAAGGCAGTTCATATCGAAAATGTCATCCTCAACAAAGAGGGTTGAATACTAGTTTTGCTCATATTTGTGGTTCGATATTTGCACAAGTGCAGCGCTTCTGTATTTGACCATTGCATTCTTACAGAGCTGCCAGTCTGCTTGCTATGTTGTCTTCGATAATATGCAGTTTTCGATTTAATTTTTGCTTACAGAATGGCGTTACATCTTTGTTTTAACCATGCGTCAACCAACGGAAACAACTATAAGTAGTTTTGAAATTGTATAGGTAAATCACAATGTCGTTCATTAACAGTGTTGTAGTGTCATTGGAATTATCGAGTTCATAAGATTGAGCCACATATTTGACTGCGTTTGCATGGATCTGATCTATGGATATATATATATATTTGGTTATGTTTTGTAACAGTCAGATATTGTAGCGATATTCTATTAGAGTTTAAGGGGAAAGGTAGACCAAATTAGAATTAGAGGAAGTCGCTGCAGTATGTATACGGTTAGAGCGAGACTATTTTAGGTTCTGTGGTTTGTTCTTTTATATTGTCTTTAAGAATAGCGTTTTGTTTGTGTTCAGATGTTTCGAAAAATATTTTGCCAAAAACCACAGAGCTTTTACGATGCTTTGTGTACGGGATACAACTGTCGCCATTTATCCAGTGCGGAAACTGTAGTAACGTGCATAACGATTTCGATCAAGTGATCTTTCCTCTTTCGATTGGTGTTTTAGCAGGAGTGAAAAATTGTGAAAAGAAGCGAATCTAAATAGTTACAGAAAAGGAGGAGAGAGGATGAAAAAGATAATGTAGGTGCGTTAAGCTCTAGTTCCGAATCTGAGTTCTATGGTTTTGCAGCTGACTCGTTCATTTTTCGGGACGAAGCAGTCTTCGAAGGGTTGAGACCGGAAGTACAAGAACCACTTCGAAGATCAGGGCGAAGATTGAAGAAGAAACGCAAAGAAGATTTTTTCTATTTTGACCAGAAAATTTTCTTGTTGATAGTTGATAGCTATACCAAATGGTAGGTCCTTTTTAAAATTATGAGTATGCAGAACCTAATATAAGCTTCTACTGCTCCAGAAAGCATTTTTGCAACCTGACTCTAGCGAGAAGTTTGTACATTTTGGAAATGCACCTTTACTATTTTGGCGCAACTCTATCTTGCACGGTCGCAAAAAAAAAAAAACAATCTAGTAAACAAAACCACGTTTTTTTCGAAAATCTACGCCATTTGCGAGAAAATGCGTAGAAAATCACGTTATTTCGAACACAAAAATGGTAGTTTTTTTGGAATAATGGACATACCGAAATCAGCGAATCCAAACACATAAACCAACCAACGACACAGATAGTGGCGTCGCGTCCACATGTGCAACCTGTGCACGACACAGGTGTAAACAATTTAAAAAATGCGTTTAGATTTTAATAGATTTTATGGTCACATTATAGCTGTACTTCTTGACTCCAGACCACAAGTGACCATGAGTACACTATTTTACAGTGTGGTTCAATTAAATATCTTCGACCTTGGTTTGCTTCAAAAAGGGTTAAATTCAGTTGGGATGGTCTGCCTAATCCCTAATGCATTGATTTCTAAGCATGTCGATATCACTACCATGACAAAACTCGTTAAATAGTGAACATAAAAACGAGCTCTTTTGGGTAGCGGGTGGCAAGTTTGTGAATGGCCAAATGCCTGATGTAAGCCAAGCAGACCTTCTATCACCTCTTGAAACATACCACAAATTTTCCACAATACATGGCGGTTTGCACCACTGGTTGTAATTGAAGCTTTCAGCAGTCACGCGTCAAACGGGAGCAACACGGAAACAGCAGTCTGGTACGCTTTGGACGTTATCATACTTGCAGACCGGTTTGAATGTGTGAAGAACATTTGTGATGTATGGGTGTCCAAAGTGTGCATTTCTCGCTGTGCACTTGGATATCTGATAGCAGACAAAGAGAGTAATGGAGAAAGAGAGCGCAAAAGCCCGCTCTCACTCTCTTGTCAGTTGTGAATCTCTCAATTACCGATAGTTGCGCCAGTGCTTCCCCTGGTTCATTCTGATGTTGTTCTGATGAATAAAAAGTTAATAAATTCAAGTTCGCTACCCAGAGAACTATGAATTTTCTCTAGATTTTGACATTGTTTTGTATAAAAAAAAAATTCGGAAATGTTTGACGGATATTCTTTATTAAACTTCAGTCGAAAGAGTTAGCCTTTTGATAAAAACGAGAATTCAAGCTGAACATTGCATTATGTCTCCACGGCCATGTAAATGCATTCCCAATTATTTTCAGCACGTAGATCGATAAAAGAAGTTTTTATCTAGCAACTAAAACGACAAACACAACAAGAAATGGTTATGTGCTCAAGTTATTAACGAAATAGAAAGTCGACGAAGAGAATCGATCAATATTACTTAGAACTTAATGCAATGTTCAGCTGGAATTAGTTAAGTTTTGCAAATCCTCCTACTTCGGTTAGCGCGAAAAGGGCCATACAAGTTTTGTTTGTACAAGATGAAGGTTCTTCAAATGTTACGTTAGGTAGTGATTGACATAGTGATGGAGAATATTTCCCTCGAATTTATGGAGCATTGAAAAATAAAACACAAACTAACATGTGGTGGTAAACTATAACGAACAAAGCTTGGTGCACAGGTAAACAAATGAGGCACGCGACGCCTCTGGATACAGACAAAACGTTTGCTACGACTACCACGATAAACTCTCACTGCAACACAGCTCAATCGGAGTGGTAGAAGGATAATGATATATTGCTTGCCGGCTTTGTTGCAATATACACGGATGAGGATATAGCCATAGAGGTAACTCTAAGACCAGAAGGTCCCGAAATAACGTGCACAACTTTTTGGCTCAGCTCTGGTACTATCTTCGGTCCCAAGCTAATCGACTCACCCCTCGAAACATAGGAAAAACCAATAACCCTGTGGTAGATAGAGTTGGTGTGGAATAATAATAATGAAATAAATAAAAACTTGAGAGGTGAGTCAAGTAATGAAACACTCAATTTGAGTTAATCTAAATTAGAGTGGAGCGTGGCAGAAGTGATAATAGAGAGATGCAAACAAAATCTCATGCTTAGTGAGGGGAAATTCTGACACAGCACGGAGGTATAAAAACGAGCTACCTAAGCTCGTAGAGGTCATTCTTGTAACTAACTTTGGAAGCAACGGAGACCAAACAGCAGCAGTAGCAGCAGCAGCAGGAGCATCAGCAGCAGGAGCATCAGCAGCAGGAGCATCAGCAGCAAGAGCAGCAGCAGTACTGGAAGCAGATCAGTCGAGATTCGTGTAGCCGTGACCGAGGCTGGAAACCTCGGTCCGGTCACGACAAACCCCTCATTTTATCTGTCAAACTTTCATAGCGAATCAAAACAAACATTGCGTAGTAGTAGAATTTCGACTAGATTAGGGTACGTCAATCGTTTGCTTGGGACCAATAGGCTACTAAAGTGGTGAGCCAATTTAAAATCGTTAGTTTCGTATTGATTGTTGATATAGCTTGATCTGAATCGAGAAAAGACATAACAAAAAAATTCCCATTAACACACGTGTATCATCTTCGGCTTTACTTCGTGAAGCAGCTTGCCAACAATTTGAATCGTTACCTTCTACCGCCCCGAGTGAGCTGTGTCGCACGGGCTGCTTGTCATGAAAAAGAAGGAAGAAGATTATATCATTATTGCTTTCCACTTCTGACATAGCGTTATCATTCGTTCGTTGATCGCTTGTCATTTTGTCATTTGGAGATATTTTTGACTCCTTGACCGAAATCCAAGATGGCTGACCTATAATTACGATGGATTTCAATCGAAGACAGCGGGCATTTATTCAAGGTGGCGGTCATTAGAAAGCGAATATGCGCAATTCATACCATGTAATATGGGTATCTCCGGAATGGGATCGACGAGTAGAAGCGGAAAATGTATGTATGTCACTATTTTGGAATCTAATTTGGCAGACCCAAATACAAGATGTCGGACAGAGAATCCGCAATTGATACATGTATAACTACGGAATTGGCTCAACGACACTACCTCGAAAGCCATTACCCTGAATCTATTTAAAAAACTTGATTAATGGGTATTAATTACTACAAAACTCAAAACAATAACTCATGTTTGAAGTGAAAATACCACCAGGAGGGTGAAAGTGCCAGTGTTTATGATCATGATACATTATATCGTACAACCATTTTTTAATAATTCAATAACACTTTTATCAAAATTAAATTTTCACATAGAAACCCGACAAATACGAAATCGAAATTTGTGATAACAAACCGTACAAACTATGTCAAATTTGAAACAATGAATCAGATAATGACAACTTACAATAAGCATAGCGAAACAATTGACTTTACAATGACAAAAGCCAACTTACTTCAATTCACGAATATAATTGAAGTAACTTGGCTTTTGTCATTGTAAAGTCAATAGTTTCGCTATGCTTATTGTAAGTTGTCATCATCTGATTCATAGTTTCAAATTACGAACACGCAAAAATAATACAATGTAAACAAACAGTATCTTGATAGTCTAGTTTTTTTGGATAAAATATTGTTAAATGACAAAAAAATGTAATTACCATTACCATGTATCAAAACGGTCTACTCATGATTGACGACAAATAAATAAATAAAGGAAAAAGATAATTACATTTAAGAGTTGAGTCAAGTTTTCCTCAATTTCACGTGACATAATTGATGAATCGCCAATAACTATATTAACAAGATTTTTTGCACAGTTTGTCACAAGATCGGAGGTGCTAGGCTGGATGTTACCAGAATGCTTGTTGAAATCTGCAAGATTGTCCCAAGCATGGTCGACCAGTTTAGGTGGGTAGTCAGGGTACAAGTGCCTTGACATAATACAAAAGATCCTTTACTTTATTGGGTCTGAAACCAGGAACGTCAAGAAAGGACAAGATGCAGACAAGAATTGGAGGCTCCGCATCTCAGAAGTTGTTACAGAGCAACAGATTGCAGAAGTCAAAAGAGTTGACTTTGTTGGTACCTCAGACCCGACCATGGCCAGAGCAGCCAGAAATACATTGAATGCTGCAATGGCCGAAGAAATAACAAATTATTGGACTAAGGTACCATCTGGGAATACATACATAACTGCAGGTATGATCATTGTTTTCACCTACAAGAATGGCAATGCTCCTACAGCACAGCCATTGATCCATGAAAATGGAGTTTTCTTGTTAGGTAACAGTGAAACAAGCCACAATATTGGGTTTGTTCATCCTTAACAAATTCACCACCCTGGCCCTGTGCAAAAGGCCATGAAATTTTGACACCACTTGCTGGTGCAATTTTATCCAGGGACAGTATCGATAAGATGATGAATGACCCCATAATTAGTGCTGCAATTGGTGCAAAATGCAAATTGATCGATGCCATCAACAACAGTGCACAAAACGGTGGCCAATACTTGTCTGGCAGCATTGACTGACATTGCAGCAGCATGTGTCATTGTCGGAACATCAGCTGTTAAAAAACCTGAGTAGAGGAAGAGCATTGTCCATAGGACAGTCAAACAATTCACCAACCAGAAAAGGGCTGGTGATCGTGAAGTATTTGCAGTATTCTGCAAGTATGCTACTGGTGGTGTTGCTGAGGAGTGGACATTTGATGCCATTATTCTGACTGAGTACGAGCATATCAGAGTGACTGCTATGGCAATGAGAAAAGCAGCCCTTCAAGCTATAGTTCTGGAAAACGAATTCCGCCGCTCCTGCCAAAAATTGTGGACCTTTTAAGGCCACAACAACATGACTTCCAACAAACTGGACCATCAAAGCCTAACCCAAGGAATGAACAGGAAGAGATGATTGATATTGAAACTAACAAAACCACACCAACAGAAGAACATGGATCTAGCTTCGTGGCACCATTGTCTAAATCTGAGGAAGAATACTTGGATAGAGAAATGCCAGATGAAGAGAAGGAATTTGATACAGGATATGGCAAATGTGGTGTCCATGAAGACATATACACATCTCATCCATGTTCTTGTGACCATTCAATGGTAAAATACCCCAATCATAACAAGAAGCACATATATAATCCTGAGGGGTGTTTGGTTTGTTATAAGGCATTGTTTCAGATTCAAGGCAGTTGGAAGGATGGCTATGTAAGTTTATTACAGAACAAGCATATGCAGGGATTTGTGCGGCAGATGACTACTTTTCCATCATTTTACGGTAAGCGCGACAAGGATCTATATGTCTTGATGAGGCTGAGCACTATGGAAATGAGCCCTAAGGTTAGAGGGTTAATTGGATCTTTATATGGATGCGAAGTTTTGACTACATGGTGCCAAATGCACGAAAAAATGAGACACAGCTAATTTAGCTGGCAGGGAATAATGTTTAGTACCGAGCCGGCTAATAGCTTGTAAACTCATTGTATATAACATTTTATTAATTGATTTTATATTTTATTGTCTGAACTCACGTTTATATTTATATTTTGTATAGGTAAATAAAAAAACTCCTTCAACACTGTGCACCTTGTGCACGTTTAGATGTGAGGGAACCCACTGCATTGTATCCACTTGTGACGCATCTAGGATTTCGGCAACTCGAAAAGCTACAAACTGCCGGTACCTTCGTTGATATGATCGCAACCAGGATAAAACAGTTCTTGAAGGTGATCAGAATGCTCGTTTCTTAATTTGCAAAGTGTGGTTTTCTTCAATAGATTTTGCCAATCTTGCTCCAAGTACGGCTGCCTGCAGTTCAAGATGAGGAATGGACATACGTTTTAAAGGAGTTACTTTCGTTTTTGATAATACCAGTGAACATCGAATTTGACATCTATCGATAATGCGAAAATATGCAACGGCAGCAAACGCGTCCTTGCTTGACTTGCATCCACAAAAATATGTGGTTCCAAGTTTCCATAACTTTCTGGATCGTAACCACCTACATACTCTTACTTCATCAAGGTTCCTGAATGAAGACGCCGAGTGGGGCTCTATTCTGATTGCCTGTTTTGGTTTACGAAATGACCACGGACACGTCGTCTTCATTCCGAAAATATCCATGTTGTCTCACTTTTATTCCCGGAAGTCACCAACTTAAATTTCAAAATGACATCGGGCATTGATTTTCAACCTCTATTGTAACACGTCTGGAGCAAGATCTAGGAAGTGTGCGACGCTCGAGAAACTGGAGACAAGCAGCATTGAACCGAGTTTGTTGGCGCAACATTGTAACGCAGGACCTGAACTGCCGCTCTTCGCATGTCGGTCCCATGGCAAAAATCAGCAAGCCGAGAAAATCGCATTTGGCTGTCTTTCCAAACTTTTTCAGATCAAAGTTTATGAATTCATCCAGTATTATGAAAATTTGCATTGTAACTCAGCTTTGATAAAAAAAAAAATGCTCGGATCAGCAAAAGTAAAAGTAAGTAGGCCTTGTACTGCCTAGAATCGCATATCAGTCCCATATGTATTGTCGCCAATTTTGAGATAACAACGTTATCCACTATCAATTGGCATCTAGTTTCATATTATGTGAGAAAACTACACGCTAACTTGAAAGTACTCATTAATGAGTAAAAAAGACCCATTTTGAAGAAAAGTGGCTTAACTCATTAATGATTAAACAATTTTACCCATTAATGAGTATCTGTTACCCATTAATGATTAACAATTACTCATTAATGGGTAACAGATACTCATTAATGGGTAAAAAATTTACTCATTTAATGAGTTAAGCCACTTTTCTTCAAAATGGGTCTTTTTCAACCATTAATGGGTACTTTCAAGTTAGCGTGTACGGACTTTGATCGTGAAAAATGTGAAAACAACATCAAGCCAGTTTGTAATCGCACATCAGTCTCATTCTGAGATCGTTGCAATTCGTCTTTTTGAATTGCCATATTTTTCGGTGATATAACAAAACATGCAATCTTCATTGCAAATTATTATAACTCGAAAAAAAATATCAATAAATTAGCTATGATTTTTCAAATATTTACATTGAAATTGCACTTCGTACCTTTGCCTTTTCTCAATGCCTACTTTGTTATATGAGACTGATATCCGATTCTAGGCAGTGTAGGGTGTCTTACACATTATCACAAACCGGAAGTTGTCATCCTTTATTTAATATCAGTCTCTGTTCCGCAATCTATAGTGCCAATCACCGACGGACATCGATTGTCATCCATTGACGGTAATCGAATGTGCAGGAAAACAGGGGTGAGACAGCAGTCACGCTTACCACTACACCATCGGCGCCGGCTTTTTGCCATATGCCGTCGAACATCGGTTTTCGGTCTCTAGCAAGAAATCAAAAATAAAAATGACAAATTGACAAGCGATCAACGAGCCGAATGATAACACTATGTCGGAAATGGAAAGTAATAATCTTCTTCCCTTTTTTCGGCCTTTGCAATATAGCTCGGATGGCAATTTCTAGAGCTTATCCACAGCAAACAAACAGTTTTAGTTTCAGCTTACACACTAATCCAGCATTTAGTTGTTCGGTATTTTTTGTACAGGGCTTACACGGTAAAACGAAAGATTTACTGAAAATTCAGTTTAAATCAGGTGAATAACCGTCGTTCTGTAAAACACAAACTGAACTTCGGTATCGTTTGATGCAAAATACTGTACACAGAATATTTATTTACTGAGAAAGTCGTTAATTTCCAAATTTTCGTGGTTTCACGAAAAGTCAGTAAAAATAATTACTGTGCAAAAAGTAGTCTTTATTTCTTTACCAACTGGTCAGCAAAATAGCCAAAAAAAAAAACAAGGTTTACCGACCACGAATTGTAAAACTCTAACCTGTCAATTTTATTCCCGCCGCCATTTTAGCTTCAGTAAAATCCGGGAGCAAGTGTTTAACCCCCCGGTTTGCCAAAATTTTAATTATATCATGAATTATATCATGACGGAACTGAGAAAGCTCAACAGCGAAATAGAAGAACCAGTTAGTACCAACACTTATTATTTACTCTTTTTGCAGTTCCTTGGTCTCCAATAAATTTTGATTAACAAAATGGATGTTTGCATTGTTTGCTTTCACTATCAACGGGCTATTTCGGGGTACGTCAAGGGATTAAGTCGTCATATTAATTGGCATATTATAAACGGTGAATTGCACCAGGATTCATGCTTTTATGACTGCACATTCTTTACTTTTAATAAAACTGGGTAGCACGGTATAATAATGAACCAAATAACTGACTTGTCAGTTAAATTGCAGCAAAATAAACAAAAAGAAAATACTGGGTTTTCCAGTATACGCAACTCGAACCAATTACTGAATGAACAGTTATTTTTGACAGATTGACTTAACGGACAGTTCGGTAATGCAAATTATTTCTGTGATGACTACTGGGCGATCCGCAATTCAAAAACCCAGTAAAATTTTACTGACTCCAGTAATCTAAAGTTAGTGTGTAGTGAAACTGCTTAAATTAAAGAAAAATCATCTAGAAACAAATTAAAACTAGGGCTGTGGTTATAACGCAAACGATCAATTTGATGTTGAAGTATTTGAACTAGTGTTATCTTCAAAATTGATGGCATCCTGTCGTATAATAGTATTCACTCGTTGTTTTTGTGGCACAATATTTTCCGGTAAACCTCTGATGAGCACGGTTGTTCCAGCAATCGCAAGTGCTTAAACTGACGAACTATAATCGATAATCTTTAGTGAAACCGAACTGAACATTATATGCTACATGATGCTACAACAATACGAACCAAAAGTCGGGTGCTACAGAGCATTGCTAAGGAGTATTTAATTATCAAGGAAACGATTTTCAACCGCATTGTAACATGTTTGGTGTCCTATGAATTTACGGAATGCTTATGCCCTATATCCTATCATAACCAGAACAGAGTCAGATAAAATCCGAAAACGAGAGATTGCTTCAGGCAGTGTGCGCCGGTTCGCTAATACCGGCTACTATAACCATGTTTTTCTTTTAACCTTGCTTCATTGCAGTGTTTGCCTAATTGGGATATATTGCCATTTCACTGTACTTATGTTTTACTAACACTACTTTCAGTAAGCAAAATAAATGCACGTTAATGAGAATTTTTTGCTTGCATCATCGCGAATGAGTCAGTGTTAAAAACGAATTAAAATTCTCAATTTGATTTTTTTCATAACATGAAGCTATTTCGAAATGGAAATATATTATTCGATAAACAATATGAGAGAATTTGTAACCTTCGCTCGACCACGTTCCTGTGTGTATAAAAACTTATCGGTTAAAAAAATCCTAAACTCTAACAATTGGAATGATGCATAGAGAGAGAAAGATAGATTGAGGCTTATTATTAGCTTGACCAAAGCAGAAAACAGTTTAGTCATTGGCGTTTATCTACTTTTTTAGCCGGAACTGTACGACTGTGACTGATTTACCTTGATTCGAATTTTGTTGGAATCGGTTGTCTGCTGGATTTGATGTGCCGAGCTGGACGAACCAATTCGTGATCGACCCATGCTCGAATCGTACTGACCTCGTTGCGTTGGACTGGACAGGGTTGGGGAAAACGGACCGGCTGGTATTCGACTTCCGGTGGTATTTCGACCGTTCGCATGGGCGGAGACGCCAGTGGGGGAAAGGGGAGAAGTGACCGGCTGCTGTGATGTTGGAATTCTGGACTTGTGAGGCTGCCGTATGGAACCCTGCAGCGACGAAGGTGGTGATGTTGGAGATTTAATGACTGGAATGCGGGATCCAGCTGGTTGTTGTTGGTGTTGGTGTTGCTGTTGATGATGTTGTCTTGCGGCAAAAGCCGAGGAGGCTGTTGAAGAACTTGACTCGTTGGTGTTTCTTCGATTGGACGACGTTAGCGGAGAGGACAGTTCCAATCGGAACGAATCCGTAGAGTATTTGTTGCGTTTCACACTGTTACTCACTGGGATGGAGGAGGATTGGCTTGGGACGGAAGTTTTGCGGCCGGCAGTGGTTGGAGACAATAGCGGAACAGATTCGTTGCTTGGACTGTTTACGATAGTTGAGCTATTTTGAACATATTGCACCTGCCGTTTAGGTGGAGGACTAGTGGAAGACTCGTCCGAGGATTTATTTAGTAACTTATCTTCATCGTCGCCTTCATTGTTGAAAAATCGGTTGTATTCTTGCAGTGCATTATTATCCAGTTGATTATCCAACAGTAGATCGTAATCAAAAGGACTGATATCGTTTCCACTTTCTCTGCTACTTTGTCGAGTTTTGAACGCCTTGTACTCGATGCTGTTGTACTCATGCCCATTACCCTCCGTAACTGTACCCCTAGTCGAAAGATTCTTGTACTGTATGTTGTAATCGCTCTTATGTCCTCTAGGAATCTTTTGCGAATTTATCGAAGCGTAAATCTCATACCGATCGTTGCTTCCACTTTCACTGCTATCGACGGTTTCGTAAATCTCGCTCTTTGTCATTCTGTTCCCCTTCGCTCGCACCATCTGACGTATAATATAATCATCATTGATATTTTTCAACAAACTGCTATTGCTACCTCCCAGATACTTATTTTTCGCCAGTTCCTCAAACGACGTCATCCTGTGTATATTATTCTCCGACCCATTTCTCACCCTAACCACACCACTTTGATTCAAACTGCTGTGACTTGTGTGGTGTTCCGGTACATATTTCCTTCCCTTCAGGTGACTACACTCGATTATAAACTCCCCGTCCAGCATCGGTGCCGGAGATTTCCTCGACATACTGCCACGTCTTGAACTGGACGTAGACCTTCCATTGATAGCATAATTCTGAATAGACGACGTCGTGCCATAGTCGCTGCCATACTCGAACCTACCGCTGCTATACGTGGGCTGATACAACTCAATTTCGCTATTCCTCCTGGTTTTCGAGTCATCCTCTTCTTCATCGTTGTAATTACTCAGTCGACTTACCACGATCGGTGTACCGGCACCGGAGTAATTAGAACCATTCGAATATCGATTCGTAGCTTTGTTGAAGGACTCCTTCTTGGCCACGGTGGCCGCCACAACCGTAGTGGTGGAGGCCGAATGCGGTGTACTTTTCTGCAACTCTTCTGGTGGTGCCGGTGGAACGTAGATGCGCACAACGTCCTGCGGGGACATTGCCCGGGGCGTTTGTTGAGTCGAAGGACTGCGAGCTACCACACTTATTGAACCGATGGCGGACCTGTGGAATAGACGCAAAATCAAGCGGATGAGTCATCGGTGGGAACACGAAAAAAGAGGCATGCAATTAAATGTGCCTCCAATATGTACCGGAATAGGCGTGCGCTAGATTGGGACTATTCAAATTCTGATCGAATGTACAGAAATGGACAAAGGTAAAGACCCAACATAGCGCACGAATCCTGTAAAGTTTCCTGAGAATAATTCGTGCTTATCTTTTGTACAGTGCTATCAACTACCTACTTCTACACATTTATTGGAACAAAGCCCGACAAATACGTAGTTCGTGATGCGCCTATATACCTGAAGTATTGATATTTTATCTACAGATCCAGTAACTTAACTTGCTTAGAGAAAATTTTAGAATTCAGTCTCAATAGGTTTACAAGTAGTATTTCCAAGCCATCACCGGAGGAAGGTCTCGAGGCTGAACCGGAGTTGCGATGACCTCTCAGTGTTACAAGACACGCATCAAACGTGGATGTTACATGAGAAGTGCGTTATTCCAAGTGGTTCCCCAGCTCTCGTCCGCAATATCGAGCAGAGGGCAATCCAACTTGGACAAACCTAGAGTATCCGGAAGATTCATGCAAAAAAATGCATTGTGACGCCACCCAATGCTAAAGAGCAAAGCGAACACCCTAATAAACAAATATCACAAACGAACGATAACCCAAATAGTAGAACCAGTGACGCAGCCAGGATTTCTGTCTGGAGGGGAAGGGGTTGGATTTAAAAATGAATTCGGAGGAAGCTGACAGAATCTTTCGAGATTATATTAATGTAATGAAGAAACTAAATGTAGGGCAAATGGCTCTAATGTTGGCCTATGGATCTAAGATTGGGCCCATCGCTAAAAATCTGTTATTTATCAATTTTATCTAGATAAACACGTCATTGAGACGGTACTAATGCATATTTTTGGTCGCTATTGAAAATTTAGTCGATTGCTGAATTTATGTATGGGTCCGAAATAGGGGCATTTAGGCCGATCCAGGTGCTGGCCTACCCGGTTTTGGCAACACAACCCCATCTGCTATAACTTTCCTTAGAATATATTAGTGCGTTATGGACATTTTTCATGAAGAGTGGTCCAGTACAATTTCAAATTACCTAAATAAAGCGTTCCATACATTTTATAGAATGCAAAAATAAAAAAAAAACAGAAATCTCGTGTTGCCAAAAACGGGAAGGATTCGCATTCTATCCTAGGGGCATAAATTAATCCAAATCATCTTCATCTTCATGGTGACCAGCAAATCTCGATTAGCAATTGTCCCTTTTTTCTCCCGGAATTTTAATTAAGCACAAAACTGAATGCGATTAAGCCGAAGGTTAAATGGATAATTTCCGAGATAATTTCTAAGACATCAGCACCTTAGCTGGATCTTGAATTTGGATCTGCAGCAGGTTCGAAGTCTTCCTTCAGATTAATTTCCTTTCACAGAAATCTCTCCAGAATTCTTTCTCTTGAATTCTCTCTGGAAATCCCCTGAAATTGTTTATATAATAGTACAGAAATTCTCTGTAGAACACTCCAAAAAATTCTTAAAATTCATCCTTTCTTCGAATTTTAAACTCTTTTTAAGAATTCACTTGAGCTTCATTTTTTTAAATTAGCATGAAATTCTCCGTAGTATTCACCTCAGACCAACAATTGAAAAGGGCCTATTAGCTTTTGTGAGCAAAACTTGTAATCCCCCATCTGGCAGGGGAAATTCTCCTGCCGAGAATTGTCTTCAAATTTTGCTCAGAATTATCTTGGAGTTCTTCTAAATTCGTCTAGAAATACCTTTCGAAATGCACTCGAACTATCTTTATAAATCTTCGCCGAATTATATTGGAATTGTACCCTCAAAATTCGCGTTCCTTGGTATTTTTCAAGAATCCTGGAATCCTTTTCACTATTGGGAGATCTAGTAAAAACTCTCCTATAGGTTTTCCTAAAGCTCCCTAGAAAATATTCTCTGAAAAACCTTGGTAAACCTTGATAACCTCTAGAATTCATTCTAAAATCTGCTCAAACTTGTTTTGGAAGAAAATTCTAAAATTCTTCTAATAGTTCTTCAAAGTGATTGTAGTTATCCTGAAAATCTAGAACAGTCTTGATTGAGTCTTGATCAGGGTCTTGAAATCTACGAGGTATATTTTTCCAGATTTGTCAACTAAATTCATATGATTTTCCCGGTGACTTCAAGTTCCAGCTTTTTTCCGGTTTTCCCAATTCACTAGTCACTTTGCATTTCACATATGAAACACATGTTTTTAATCACATTATATTTGTTTTGCCTTGAGCACATTTTGAGACCCAGCTCCGTAAGAAAAATTATTCCGGATAATATGCTTAACTAAAAGCTAATTCGGATTCCTCCAGTGGGAAAAAGTAAAAACAACGCTTTCATCTCCAAAATTATGTAAGGTAATTCCATCTTAATTGCAATAGCAGCAACATTACCATACTAAAACTTTACTGTGAAGCTAATTTGACGAACCAACCAGGTTTACAATGAAGACCTAGAATACTTAATACAGCCACTCTATGCTGTCAAAGCAATGCTTGTCTACGTATCTTTAATCATAAAAGTGCTACTCCAATCAATAAAAAAACTCCCAAGCAAGACCATTATCCTGAATTCGCATTTAGTTAGTTCTCTGAACTAATTAAGCTGATAAGAACACAATAAGCAACAAGAACTAAAAGTATTCAGAAAAAAAATCATTATCTTCTCTTAAAGCTGGGTTTAGACAAGACAGGTCAATTGATCAACTCAGTTGAATTCAACTGACTTGAACGTGTAAACTATGCCATTCAACTGACTTGAATTGAAAAAAGTTGAACCAGGCTCAACTTTTCAAGCCAATTGAATTCAACTGAGTTGATCTATGACTTGTCTTGTCTAAGCCCAGCTTAACTTTAACCATTCTTCCATTTACTCAAAAGTGCTCCAATGCGCTCAAGGGGTTGATTTTTGTTGGACACAGCTGGATCGAGCAGACGCAGAATCTACTTGAAGGTTAAATTTTGTCAGACGCAATTAGGAGAGACGCACATTCCCATAAGCAGCTTAATTTTGCAACAAGTTACAACGTCTGAACGGAACGGAACTGATTTTTTATCTCGGTTCAACTCAGGATTCCCAGTGTGAGCTGAATTTATAATAGGCTCAAAACCATCAAAATACCCTTTTATTTGAGCGACTTTTGCTCCACTTGCTAAACTGCAACATCAAGCATTGAACAACCACAACTTCCCAACTCTTATTAAAATTTTAAATTGAAAACCATCCTCAAACTACAACTGTTATAAAGAAATATTTCCCTGACTTTAAATGAAATTCCCTGACAATCCCTGATTTTCCAGGTCCAAAAAGGAATTCGCTGATATTCCCTGATTTTCCAGGTTTTTTCAGGTAGTCGACACCCTGATTATCAAAGAGCTTTGGGGCTGATGTGGCTGGCAGCGAGGTGAGCGAAGGTTCTTAAACAACAATAATTTATGGTGTTACCTCTCACCCCAGCAGGCCTGGATGTTCTGAGGCATAACATCTCTGATCACGCCTTCCTACGGAAGGTAGTAAGGGAAGTAAAGCCGTTGGTCCCCGGTTCATGAGCTGATGGGTCGATAGGTAGGGTCCAGGTGTGGGAGCTGCCTTCCTGGCGTCGGTAGCATTAGTGCTCAGCACGGAAAACAAGATCGACGGAAAACAAAACCAAGGAAAAAAAAAGACCGTTTTGTCGTGATGGTTGAGTAATGCTGAGCTATTAGGGTGTTCATCACGGATGAAGCTGGCGAGCTGTATGTTGTTTGGAACGAGGGTGACGCGCTTGGCATAAATGGCCCACAGCGGCTCACGACGAGCAACTGAATCCGATCAGTAGCGCACCGCTTCTTCCTCCTTCTTCGGTGAATCGAGGGCTCTTGAGAGCAGCCTTGATAGCTAGCTGCTTGCGGGGAGCCTTTCGTTGTGTACTGGAGAAAAATGTACAACGTCACACCCCGAAAGCTGGTGCTGCTGCTAATGACGACCGGACACCACCACTCACCACACGCGATGATTGAAGAAACATCGTTCGGCGAGACCGGAAAGGAAAAGGGCTTTTTGCAGGCAATCGGTGATAATTTTGATCACTATTGCAACAGTTGAACATTTGTGTAATTTTCAATAGTGGCCTATTGAAAATTGATAAATTATTCATTTTAGCAGATTCGTAGAAAAATTTCCAATCGATTGGCTTGTTTAGAATTAAAATACTTCCACTATTGACATAGTTTTATAAGTGGTCAAAAACGGACCACTTTTCGTAACGCGGTCCATTTTGGTTTTTTTTATTGCACCCCCCATATTCGTTGCCGAAAGACGTAATCCTACGTAAAAATAGTACACGGCGATGCTCCCGCTCCCACTAGGTGTACGTTAGACTGATGCAAAATTGGACTTTTTTGCTCCACAGTGCTTAAATGGTGTCAAGTCGGGTCCTGATTAGCCTCCCAAAGTTACAACTCATTTGGTTAGAAACAAACTTCGCACAAGCCATTTGAAGTTTACATGTAAATTACTATGGGAAATCTCAACTTTTTGTTCATTGCCTTCTAGTCTTTTTCCATATTGAGCTGCGAAACAGTTTGATAGCCATTCTTATAGAAAATTATCTCAGCTACAACTTTGCTGAAGATCGTTTCTATGTAAAACGAGACAGGAAAAAGTTATTAATTATTTAAGAGATTGGTAAACTTATGACATGATCAAGCAGCTGCTCTGTGGCAACACTGTATTTTGCAGTGTGACATAGTAGCCATGATTTTTGTGTCCTATTCAACACCCCAGAAACACCAATGTTGCCTGCTGAGCAGTTGATTGAGCATGATCATAAGACATCAGCGCATTGAACCATTTATAACTTTCGATCCTTGCATTTAATCAAAAAGTGGTCTTCAGCAAAGTTGCAGCTGGGAAAATTTACTATAAGTACAGTGAAAGTTTTCGAAGCAGACCGATATGG